CTTGCTATATTCAAAAATAGATTATGAAAAATGAATATATTGAAAATTTCAGTCTAATTACTTGTTTCTGAACAAAGTTATCAGGTTTTGAAGTGTTGACAATATAATCTCAATTGTCATCTACCATTGTTACTATAATAAAGTCTCCAGAATCTATTTTTAAATTAATTTATTAAATGGCGATCGTGTTTCAATCCATTGAAAATTACGACCTTCCGAGGGTTTATAGAGTTGATTATGAGCTTTTCATTTAAATAAATACCTAATTAATAATTTATATAAGATTTAGAGGCCAAAATATAGACCTACAATTTGCAGATTTAACGCTACAAATAATGCATCTTTAAATGTTAAATGATCAATCTAGTTATACATTAGCTTGGATCAAGCTGTGAGAAATTTGATGTTTTCTGACAAAATCAAAAATCCTGCCCCATTAGTTTAATTAAGAATAATAGTTTTATACATAAATATTATAAAAGGCTTGTATTCTCTATGGATTATATGATTCGAGTAATTGTATATATGTTTTAATAGTCTTGTCTATTTTTTCTACATTTTAAGTAAGGATAATAGTGTTATATATATATAAATATTTGAATGTAGAGATAAGATCATAAGTAGCAGCTGAGTTCTATATTAAAACACCATCTTGATTTTATATATATATATATGGACACAGATCACCAAATATTCCTACGCCGTCACCCACGAAACAAGGGCTAAAGCTATTTTTAGTCTTCCTCTCCCTTTTCCTTTTTCCCCCTTTTGCATGGCGATTTTTGTTGACTTTTTGGTGTAGAATTGAGGAAAAGGGTTTGAAAATACATTTTCTGCCAGGTTTTGGTGAATATTCATAATTTTGATGCGGAAGGATACAAGAGTTGAGAGGTTGGTTACGTTGAAATGTAGGGCCTGAAATTGCATGTTTACTTGTCTCTACTTCCAGCTTGTGTATCTCAAGTTTTTCATGAAGAACCTCATACGTGCTTTTGGGCAAGTGGTTGCCACATGTTGCTCCATCTGTGGTAGAAAGCGTTCTACCCAACGAAAATTTGGGAAAAAGTTAGAGCCGGTCTAAGATACGAGAATTAACATTGGAGTCAATGGGGAAATCTTTAGTGATCTGTGTCCTGTCTGTGTGTGATAAGGCTGTCACTGATATGCCTTAGTTTTGAAAATATGAAGATTAAATTCTCAGAAAATATGAATAAAATAGTTTGGCTACAGAAAAACTAAAAAAAGTTAATTAAAAAAAAAAAAAATCAAAGTTTTGAAGAAAAATTGTGATTTTACTGCAAATTTCTCAATTTTCAATTTTTATTGAATTTTTAACAGTAAGTAAAATATTCTAATGCCCAATGTTGGCTTATTCAGTCTCAGAAAGCACAGATAAAATGAACAGTATTGAAATTTCACCAAATTTTGTCTAAAAATCAGGAATATTCACAAAAAATCTTGAGATTCCCCCCATTTGGATGTAGAAATTAATATTTTCATGACTACTAAAATGAGTCAAAATGTCTAAAAATGCCCATATTTTCTTTGCTAATATAACTTAGATGGGATCTACATGTTTGTCAGGTTTAGAAATAGCTCCAGCTTTCCTACAGAAAATTGAAAATTGGTAACACTGAGTTAATAATGTACAGCAGATGGGTTTGTACAAAATGTTCAAAACAGGGGTTGGCTCAATTTTGCCACTATTTTACCCAGAATAAGCATTTTTTTCTTCTTTGAAACATTAAATTCTTGCATTTCCTTCATGTAGGAAGCAATATCCCAGCCTTTCTAGACATTTTTTACTCCATCATTCTGTTTAGAGAGGCAATAAATGCCCCACCCCACCCTTTTCTATTAATGTGTTTTGAGGGATTTAAATGCACCTGTGTTGACATGTAAATGATCTTAATTGGAATTTGTGGTTGAATTACAGCTAAGAATGTTATTTTTCACCCAAAAATATTTTTTGTGTGCATTTCAAGGATTTCTAACCCTTATTTGTTCAGAGTCAAACGTAGAACCCTGAGGCACTTCAGGCCAATGAGACCAGACCCAGATATAAAACTGGTGTAGATGTGTAAATGTCAGTTTAATGTTCAATATTTTCTTGTCAAAATCCAGCATTTGTGGTGTTTGCTGCATTTATGTTGCCTATAAAACAATAAAATGTTAATTTTTCTCCTTTTCAGGCCTCTTTTTATGTTGTCATGTCTGTCATGACTACTTTTTTGACTTCATTTTTTCAGGAAATTAATGTAAAGTTCCAGACATCTTGCTTTAGCACAAGGATTGCAATACAAATTTGTAACATGCCTCTGAGGTTTGAGATGTTGGAAACATTGAAATATTCCCAAATTTGTGAAAATTGTGTATTCTGTGACCCTTCTGTTAGAGAGGGGTGATCATAGACCAAATATGGCATTTTTTTCATTCATCAAGGCCTATTTTTAACCATAATTCATATTTATTGCACCTATTTTAGTTTATATGTGCATATGTTAGCCAGGGATGGTAAAACATAGCTGTTAGACAGATTCCTTTGGTAATGTAAGTTCTGCAACCATAGATTAGATTAATTCAATCAGTGGCATGTTCAGGGGGTAGGCATACATGTTTCAGTATAGATCTCTAATATTACAACCATTGCAACTGGTTTGCATTTTTTCTGTTTGCATATTGTCCACAGATTCTAAAAATATATTTCTTGTCCGTCCGGATATTTAAAAAAGTGGAAAATTATTGGTATTTTGAGAGATGCTACATGTAAATTTTGTACATTTTTCATCACATGGCAGTAAAAAATTATATTTTTGAAAAAAATTCCAAATTATGAGTGTTTTGTATGTAGTTTCTTTGTTACTTGTCTAATTTTTTCACAGAACTCAGATACTGCCTTTAATAAGAAAGATTTTTAAATTTTAGCACAAAAGGCCTATGGACCTGAGATGCACCAGTGTACATAAAGCAGCATGTGTACTTAAAGGGCCATCATTTTTACAGTTATTCTTTGATTTTGATTTTCTTTCACCGGCATGTTGCCAGAACACATGGGAAGGAAATAAAAAAGGCCTTTTGGTGATCCCTGAAGTTTCACCCCTATATAGGACACAGATCACCAAATATTCCTACGCCGTCACCCACGAAACAAGGGCTAAAGCTATTTTTAGTCTTCCTCTCCCTTTTCCTTTTTCCCCCTTTTGCATGGCGATTTTTGTTGACTTTTTGGTGTAGAATTGAGGAAAAGGGTTTGAAAATACATTTTCTGCCAGGTTTTGGTGAATATTCATAATTTTGATGCGGAAGGATACAAGAGTTGAGAGGTTGGTTACGTTGAAATGTAGGGCCTGAAATTGCATGTTTACTTGTCTCTACTTCCAGCTTGTGTATCTCAAGTTTTTCATGAAGAACCTCATACGTGCTTTTGGGCAAGTGGTTGCCACATGTTGCTCCATCTGTGGTAGAAAGCGTTCTACCCAACGAAAATTTGGGAAAAAGTTAGAGCCGGTCTAAGATACGAGAATTAACATTGGAGTCAATGGGGAAATCTTTAGTGATCTGTGTCCATATATATATAGGTACATGTAGAGTTGTAGACCTATTATTATAATAGTTTTATATTCACTGTCATGTTTTACTTTAAAGTAATATAAAACTTTAGTGACTTGTGTCAATAAACAGTTATTTTTTACTTGTCCAAGTTTTAACGTGACCCTATATTGACATTACATGTACCTTAATGTTTACATTACTTATTGACACACCAGGCCCTGGTTTCACAAAACATTCTCAGAATAAAGTTAAGAATTTAACTTTTGTTATTTCATTGTATCAAATACATCAATAAGTAACTATTTGCAAATTTGGTGTTTCTGGATCAAAGATATTTCTCATAAACAGTGATTGAAAGTTGAGTAAATTCTTATGTCTGAGAATGCTTTGTGAAACATTAATCCACATATCTTTTTGAAATTCATATCTATTTCCTATCTCATTCAATGAAGAAGCCTCTTCATTTTCAACTTGTATATGCCCTTTTCTTACAGAATTATGTTAGCACTTTATAGGCAGCAATTATTAATCTGTCTTTCTGAAATATATACTGGCTGTCTTATCCTATTGAAAGAAAGAACCCTATCCATTTTAGATAACTTATTCCTTTTTGTTACTTATGAAATCTTGTTAGTACCTGAGAAGCTTCAATTATGATTTGATTTTGTCTCTAAATTCACTCTGGCTATATCTGTCCACTGTTGAGATTAGTGAAACGAAGAGGCCTGTTGGATTTCATCAATTTCTATTAATTACTTTTTGTAGAGTTTCTCCACAAGAATTATAATGTGATTGGTTTGTAATTATTATGTGGTGTTTATATAATACTGGTATGCAGGAAATGAAGAAGCCTATCACATTTCAACAATATATGACTTCTGTTGGTTTTACCCTAGTCTCGGTCACCCAGAACCTCCTGATTTTCAACATACGGAGGATCTGGGACCGTTGTCAATGTTTGACGAAAAGTTCCATTGCCCATGCGTAACCGATTATCCAGTATCTTTGGTCAAGTCAAGTAAGAGTTCTGGCCCCTTCTCGCAATAAATCCCATAATTCTTTCATTAACACAAATGAACATGAATCGTGACAACGAATTAGGATTCATTAAAAACAACCCATAAATATGGACCATGAAGAGAGAAATGTTACAATAAAAAAAAATAAGTGTGTTGGATATTGAACTGGCAATGCAATCAAATGGATTTTCTGAAATGGCATTCTTAAAATTAATTTCATGGGCGTTACCTCCCGTAGACTTTGTTTATGATAATGTAAACGACTGGATAAGGACATCGCATCCAGACTAACATTCGTAGAATATTTTTCTGGATGATAGTTTTACCCTTGCTCACTATTGCAGAATATTGTGAACACTCTAGTGCTTGAAATTGATATATATTGTTTAACATTAGAAATAAGTATAATTTTATTTGAATGTTTTGTAGGTATTATCAAGAACATGATGGTGTTCCTACAGTACAGTCTTTATATGAGAAATGGTTTTATTGTGAAGATCTTGGTACACAGTTAGTTCCAATTATAAAGGAGTAAGTATTCTATCAATCATGAAAATTATGTGTATGAAATAAATGCCAACTATGTTATAAACTGGTGTAAATTCGACTTTGTGATTTGGCATATGATCAACCCAATTTTTTGATGAAAGTTATTTGAAAGATTAAGATATTTAATATAAAACTTGTATGTAACATTGATGAGAAATTATTTCAAGATACAACCAAATTCCTTAACATGAAAGTCTTGATTATATGCCAATTTCCATTAACCCTTTAGCACTTGTAAATATTGACAACCCCCAGTTTCATGAAAAAAAACCCAGAATAAAGTGTATCTTTTGGTTGAGTTTTGTAGCTCATTTTTGAAACTGTCCATAACTACTGCCCCATAGACTGCCTTAATGTCTTAGTCACAGAACTAACATTATGGTCCTCCTTAAACATGCATTATGCAAGAGCTAAATCTGCCTATTGCAGGTCTTTCTTTAGGCCTGAAATGTTTTCTAAAGTATTAATTAGACATTAATTAACTGATCCAGGCCATAATCAATTCTCGATGGCATCAGATTTCTCCGATATTAAATAGATTAGAATGGTTCAGCGATACTTTGATTTAATCAAATATGGAGGACCGAGACTTGGCTTCGATCAACCAGTACGGTGGTTGAAATTATTGCACACGTCTGTCAAACCTTCAAAGGCTAATATCTTCGCTTGCAATAGAGTAATTTGAATGAAATTTTCAAATTATTCATTTTACATTATCTGCTTTCGAACTATTATAGCTATTATAGCAAGAATGGCTAGTTCTTTATCTAAATCTTACATAATGTATATTTAAATAGTTCACAGCTATTTACATTACCCTGGTGACAGTGGGAGCAGAATTTTTGGGGGGCAATCCAAGTACTAAAGGGTTAATTTACAGTTTATAGCTATATAAATATGTGATACATTTATACAAGAGAGAAATTGATGCGACTGTGATATCTTTGAGAACAACTTGATTTTCAGGCATTTAAGTGATATTGAAATATCCTACTGTTCAAGGAGGTCGGGTGTTCGATCCCTGCATTGATCGAGAATGTTCATCCAGATTTTCCGGCGTGGTTTCCCCTTGTCAGTGGTGCAGGACGGAGGGCCTGACAAGGACACCTGTCTAGTCATTTGGATGGGACGAAAAACTGAGGTCCCGTGTACACATTGGTGTGCACGTAAAAGATCCCTTGGCAGTTGGAATTCGATATAATAGTAGGCCGTAGTGCCGCTGCCCGGGCAAAATTTCCTTCATAGCACACTGTATGGCATATGCCCGTCTTCATTAGCCCAGTTTAGGAGCATAACAGGACGCTAAACCCCATTTCATTTCATTTCCTACTGTTCAAGATACTGTATATATTTTTGACATTATCTGTTTCTTTTTTTTATTCAGGTTTTTCGAATCAACTCAGTACAAAACGGGTATTCCAAAAGAAGGTAACATTTTCAATCCTTATTTGTGAAAATATTTTACTCATACTTTTGAAGGAGTAAACTGAAATTTGTCCACAACCCCTTGATTTGAATGAAATTTGATAGGAATGTTGTTGGAAGGAGCAGGGTCATAGCCAACAATTCCTCAGGATTGCTGGTCTGTTTCTCCCCTTATCAGTCGTTCAGATGAAATAAAAACTGAGGTCCATCTGTGCACACATTGGCGTTGGAACCATTGGCAGTTGGAATTCGATGAAGAGTAAGCGAAAATATGGCTCAAGGATAATTCGTCCCCAAACAATTCGTCACAGGACAATTCATCCCCGGACAACTTGTCCCCGATGACAATACATTCTAGGACTATTAGTCCCCTATGGTTATCCGCACCGGACAACTCGTCCCCAAGGACAATTCGTCCTATGACTATTCATCCCCTAGGAGAATTTATCCCAAGACAACAATAATGATAGTTATCAAAAACTGAATTAATCTTTCCTTATTCTCCTAAATCTCAGTATTCGATAGATTTTCATCGATTTACATTTAGTATTAAATCTAATCCTCAGCTTAATGGTTCCTGAAATTCTTTCGAGATAATTGATAGAAATAGGATCTGCATGGTTATTGTTCCATTCTGGTGACTTCATCACTTATTTATGATTCAAACCACCATTGGATAGCTTTTGCCAAACACCTTACAGTTCTATAAAAAGGATCATATGTTTAAATGGTTTCCTACTAAGGATTTTTTTGATCTGTTATTGAAAATTGAAAGGATTGGGGTTCTATCGAATGCCCCCCACCCCCCAGAAGAGTTTCAGAATTGGCAGGAAGACGGGGAGCTACTAATTTCTTCCTCCGTTTCGCCTTCATATTTTTTTTTAACAACCCAGGGACGAATAGTCATGTTGGATAAATTGTCCTCTGGGACGAATTTTCCGTGGACAATTTGTTCGGGTACTTATTGTCCCATACCCACAAGATAAAGACGCCTTCATAGCACATTAGATAGTGTATGTCCGTCTTCCATTGGCACATAAAAGTAGAATGTTGAACATGATTTTATTTTCATTTTCCAAACAAAATATTATTTTGATAGCCATTCTTTTCAATGTTATTATATTATCATTTCAGGTACAATACCAAAAGATCCCCCAATAACAGTTGATTCTGAAGTAACATTAAAAAATCCATTTAGTTTAAAGAATTGGATAAATAAAAATCGAGCTGATCTCAATAGCAAGGGCTGTATGTCCTTATTTGGTAATGGAAATCAGTTTCAGGTTATGGTGTATGGTAAAGGGGAAAATTCTGGAAAACATCTTGTAGCTGAAACATGGATCTGGCAATTGGTAAGGGACCATCTCAAAATCTCAACACCTGCATCCAAACAAATAACAAGCAGAACTGGGTGGATGTGATGAATGACACCGTGTATAGAAAATAATGATTAAATGTCGGTTATTATTGAATCATAAACGGAAATATGTTAATGTTTTCGTACTACATGAATGAGATTGGCATTGGGGTGTGAGACGAGATTTATCCGTGGGTTAATTGTTTGAACATAACTGTTGAAATTTTGCGACAATCCCCAAGTTAATTCAAACAAGTTACATTTAAAGTGTATTTTGTCAGTGATTTTCTGTACAATTATTCAGGAAATCCTATACCTTGTAGATTATAAAAATTTCCAAAGAATGACAACTCACTATAGTAACCATTGGTAACAAGGTATCCAAAGATTTATCAAAAATAGCTTAGTTAGTGATGAAAATCTTGATTAAGTATAATTTCCCCCTGTCAGAATAGTTCAAATTGTTTTGGGTTTTTTGTTTGTGGGAAGTGAGAGTAATGTGGGAAGCTCAGAGTCAGAAAATCGTTTAATTCAGAGATAAGATTGTAGACACCTCAAGACCTAAAATACTTCATTGTAGTAGTGATGACAGTACCTTTTAATTTATTGTTTATTTATTCCAGGAGGGAACATCAACTGTAACAATTAGTGGAAAGACATATGAATTATCTGTTAATGATACTGTGCTTATACCCATTTGTAAAATGTAAGTAAACCATGAATTACCTTTCAACATTCCGACTTCCATTTTATAGTTGGGAGCCACAGTGGCTCAGTGAGTTCATCGATGGCTCACTAACCAGGAAATCCCAGGATCGATCCTGGTATTGGTGGTGAAAGTTTATTATGAAATTTTGGCGTCGTTTCCCCATGTTATCGATGCAGGACATAGCACCTGGTAAGGAACAGTGTCTAGTCTTTTGGATGGGATAAGAAAAATGAGGTCTGTAGACACATTGGTGTGCATGTAAAAGAAGCCTTGGGTTGAAACTGCTGTCTGGGAAAAATTTCTCTTAAACCACGTATGCTCGGCTTCATTAGTCCTATCAGTGCAGAAAATTAGGATGTTTGTTGATATTTCATACATTGTTTTATAGCAGGGCAGAGGTAGACTTAAAATATGTATTGCGACTCGAGACTCAACTCAGCAGTCGTCACAACTTGCGCCTTGAAAGCGCTAAGGACTCAATCGCAGTGAGGTGACGTAACTCCAACTTGCCTTATTCAACATGAATTAATGACTCATTTGATGAGCTGGCAGTTTGAACAGGATTTGGGCTTTGTGAAGACTTGGGACTTGACTTTTTCTTAAAGCGAGAATTTCAAATTTTCTAAGAAAGTCAAAACATAATTATTTCTATGTCTTTTGCTCAATATGTTATCAAATCACTATTATACGATCATGGGCATTATTTCCCACCCTTAAAAATCTATGACACAGGAAATAACAACACAATTACCTCCCCTGTTTTGCTATTGACAACATGGGGCAGCCATTTTCCGATGTTGGAATTTGAAGTTAAAAATGATATTTTTGCCAATTTCTCAGTTGGCAATAGCGAATTATAGGATTAATAGGATTATTCTTTAACAAGGTAGGACTGTTTATGGATACCATCTATTTTAAGGCTTTATTTTAATACATTTTAAAAATGTAACTTGAAAATTTGCAATTGCAACTTTAAAGTTCCTTGACTTGGGACTCGACTTGGACTCAAGGTTCCTTGACTTGGGACTCGACTTGGACTCAAGGTTCCTTGACTTGGGACTCGACTTGGTCTCAAGGTTCCACGACTTGTTCCTACCTCTGTAGAAGGGTAATAGAGTTAGTCTGTCATTGTGAGAAATATAATTATATACTGATCTCCATTTCGAGGTTATTAATACAAATCAAAACTATCAAGAACTGCACCACTCATAAAATAAAACACTTAAGACAAGACACACAATATAAACAGACATTTCAAACAATAAACAACAAAGGGAGACAAACCAAGAAAAAGTGTGGCTCATGTTCGGCTATGTGTTAAAATAAATTTCAATGTTAGTACAATTGAATAAAACTATTCCAAAAAAATGAGGTAAAAAGCCTGCCAAAAATTATTGGGCAAGATGTTAAGTGTGTGGAAAGATGTAAGAATATTAAATATAAAGTTAGGGCATATCTCCTTATTTCTATTATACAGAGAAATCTTGTACTGAATACATAGAGTCAATTATAAAATGTGCGACCGGTCTAGATGGTGGTCGCCTGCTGAATAATGTTTGTCAGAAATAGCTAAAAGAAATAATTATTTCAATAATAAATAATTATTATGCTAAGATTTTATTTCTTTTTCCATAATACAAATTTTGTGTGCACCACACTGAAAAAGTTATATCAACAATTACGAACAATCCTAATTTTGAAGTGAAAGTCTTGGTTGTAAATTCTTGCAAGTTTTAACTATATTTCTCTCATTCAGCCAATCTGATTAAAACACAGAACCTATTTCATTTCATTTTTTATAGTTCAAAATTTCATTTTACTTGTCTTTACTACACTAGGATCTGGAAGAGTTGTTATATTACCGGCGTTCTGGGTGAAGTGAGGGATTAGCCAATGAAACGGTCTGTTACGGCGAGTTCTTGGCTTGTGATGCATGGAACTGTGGGTAAACCACTAGAAACGTCAATGCTGATTGATTAATCAATGTCTGCTGTCATAGGGTCAAAAGCCACTTGTACGCCCCCCGACGTGACCTTCCAGTACAACCGATCAGATCTTCATGTAGTGTAGGCCATTGAAAGTAATAAAAAAAAAAAAACGAAATATAGATCTGTATTTTAATCAAATTGCTCATTCGCTATTACTGAACATTTGTATTAACTGGTAAAAATGCTTTACTAATAACAGTAAGAATGAAAAATTTATTATTAATTTAAATATTTTCAGGTATACAGCAAAACGGTGTGAGAACTCAGTGGCTTTGATATGTTTTCAAGATCCGGGTTTGAAACGAGAAATATAAAGGATAAAACCACTGTTTGTTGTTGTTGATTGTTTCCTTTTCACATGAGATTGTTAAATCATGATAAATCATCACTGATCTTGTAATTTGTTCCTGTAGTAATATATATTGTAATGTAGATGGAATCTGTAATGTTTGAATGTTAGACTTTTGAATCATAATCAAGACAGCAAGGTTTACTTTAGACAGATATTTCGAGCCAAGCCGACAAATGCTCAACGCCTTTTTTTGATTTCTAAATTTGAATTTGCTTCATGTTTGGTATTTGATATTATATTAATTTTAAGAATTTTAAACGTCCAACGTCCAAATTGAGCATTTGCTTCATAATGTAGCAAAATATTATATCATTCACTTTTATAAATAAAGCACTGCCACTAACACACAAACATTGCATATGGGAAAATTCTAATGAAAATTAATTTCACGATTTAGACTGTTAAATGGAATATATTTGGACCAGGAATGGGGCCCCAATACTCTACTCATCTTGTTCTTGTTCTTCTTAAGGGGCAACACTCTTCGAAAAATACCTAAAGGTTTGCCGCCAATCCAATTACAAAACTTGGCATTCATGTTCCTTGGACAATTGCTCATCAATTGATGGATTCGATTTTTGATGTGACGTCACAATTCCAAGATGGATGCGATGATGTCATGCTTGGTTGCTAGTCTATAATATGCTTGTACTTGTTGTTTTTTTCTAATGGGATCTGTATGTGAATAAGTAATAATTTATTCATTTATATTTGTATAGTAAATCTTTGATATTGTTTAACCACTTAACGATTTAACTTTATATTTAATTAAGAGATATTAATTTAATATTTTAAATGTTGGGAACAGTTGGTATGTACAAAATGATTTCTTGCCAAGATTCGCTCATAAAATAGATTTTTAAAAAAAATCAATTTTGCTGGATGTTGTAGAAATCATTTAATTTATTCAAATAAACTATAATTACCTCATTTTTAACTTACTGCATAATTTACTAAACCTATAGAAATAATTGTTTGTTGTGCTCAATTTTTGTGTTAAAAGATGTTTTGTTTTTTTTAAATTTTTTCCTGCTTTGGCTTTTTTGTTGATTTTAATTTTGCAGTGCTCAATATATTCTCATAATTTTCGACCTATTTGGGTACTAGACACAAAAGCTTGTCAATGATGTCAATTACGGGACTGATGTTTCTTTACTTTGGTGCATAACTTTTAAGTTATTACATATCAAACATAACAGGTATCCAACCAGTACTGGGCAAATTTGTAATTCATGACGTCTAAAGTAGCAGGTCATTTGTACCCAACAGGTTTAACTCAACCAAATGATGAAATATATGATTTCATTTTTATTTACTAATTTTATGTATAAGCATTATTTTTTTTGTGTGATATTTTCAAAGTCTTATGGGCCCTTGGTGTTAATTATACATGAAGATTTTAATACAGATCTTTGAAATTTGATAAAATTATTATTATCCCTTTTTCATCATGTCCAGTATATTTAATGGATATTTTTATAATGTTATTTCTTATATTAAGATATCTAGTCTTCAGCTATATTTGAAGCAGTTTTTGTTGATTATATGGTATTAGATTAGTGGTACATGTATTTCATGTTAGTGTGACAGATAATATACAGAATTGTTTTCTGTATTTTGTGATATATTAGATTACATTAATTGTATTGACAGCGATGTAATTAAAGTAATGTAGCAATTTCTATGTAGTTTATTTGTGGGAGGGACAACAATATCCACTTCATAAATACATTGTTTGTTTGGTAGCCTGACCCCCACCCTTTGGATTAATTGAAAGATTAATTACTGTACTCCATGTATGGTCTCCCAGGGACACCTCACTGTGCCCACTCTGTTAATTTAGGGCATTAAATGTAGTCGGTCGTGGTGAATGGTATAACAATGAGGATATCAGAACCTGCTTCCTATATAGTCTGTTCTATAATAACAGATCAAACAACAACAAAAGTTTTCAGATATTTTACCATATAGATTAGGGAAGTCAATCAAGGCAGATTAAGCAGTTAATCAGTTAATGTACCGGTAGGTGTATAACTCTATAAAGGGTTGATCACTTAATTATGCATAACTTGAGTGTTGACAAAACATGGAATTATATATACTGATGATGTCACTCACTCATTGTGTGGTTCCAGACATGTAATAAAAGTTATTCAGTTTACTGAACTTAATGCCATCTGATGTATCTGCTTTTCTAATAGTATGACTGGGTGACTTTTCTAATGTTGTTGGGTAGGCCCTAGTCTTTCTAAAATTGTGGGGGGTTGGATGGCCGAATGGTTAGCACGTGCGTGCTGTATCATAAGGTCTGTCATTGAGTCAACTGGCGTGGTTTTGAATGCTTGGTTGTACATGACAAGGAGTAGGGTCGCCGATCCAACCTCGTGGGTTTTCTCCAGGACGTCCGATTCCCTCCAACTGCTAAAGACCCCTATGCGCAAGTGAATTATAGAAATAAAATTGAACCATGTGTTAGTCTCTCTCTCTCTTCTAATATTGTGACTGGGGGGCTTTTCTAATGTTGTTGGGTATTTTTTCTAATATTGTGACTGGGTGGCTTTTCTTAGACCAAAATTATGACTTAGTGGTTTTTCTAATGTTGGGCCAAAAATTTTGACTTTGTTGCTTTTCTAATATTATGGCTGGGTGTTTTTTTTTATAAGCCCACATATTCATGTGGACCTATCTTGTCACTGTCCTCGTTTGTCATTCACATTTTGTTCGTTGACACTCTACAGGTCACAATTTTTATCTGATTTTTACAAAACTTGAAATATAGGTTTATATCGGACCGTAACTTCATGAATTATGACCCCAGATTGTACAAATTGTGTTTTTAGCTAGTGGACCTCTAACTAAGAGGTCACAATTTTTATTCGTTTTTAAAAACCATTCTAATATATCACTGTTACCACCTAATAAGATCTCGGCTCCTTTAGATATTGACTGTAACATCCAGGATTATGGCCCCTTATTTGACAAAAATCGCCTTTTTAGTTTGTTCTCTGTCCATCTTTTGCAAAATGTGGGTGTATCTTGCATGGCAACTGCTTGTTTGTAAGTTGAATAAAGCAATACACTAGTTCAAATATAATTACACCATTGTTATAAACATCTACCTACTGTTAAAGATTAAAACAGAAATGTGAATTGAAATGAATTTGACGGCAAATTTCACAATAAACTTTTGGTTGCATCAATTTCATACTTGACCATTATGTTATGTTATAATATGGTTAACCGCCCAATGAACAGCTACTGCTTTAATGAGGAAGCTGCAGTGGCTCAGTGAGTAAGGCACTGACTCACTAAGCAGGTCTGGGGTTCGATTCTGGTGTTGGTGGGGGGTTGAATGGCTGAATGGTTAGCGTGCGCGCTGTATCATAAAGTCTGTCATTGAGTCGACTGGCGTGGTTTCGAATCCCCGGTTGTACGTGACAAGGAGTAGGGTCGCCTGTCCAACCTCGTGGGTTTTCTCCGGGTCCTCCGGTTTCCACCCACTGCTAAAGACCCCTATGCGCAAGCGAATTATTGAAATAAAATTAAACCATATGTTAGTCCTGAAATGACCTAGTTTGTGTCGAGTGGACGTTAAACCCCATTTTTCTCTCTCTCTCTGGTGTTGGTCGAGAAAGTTCCCAGGGATTTTGCAGCATGGTTTCCCCATGTCAGTGTTGCAGGCAGAAAGACTGGCAAGGAAACCTTGTTGATCGGACTGGGCGAAAAATCAAGGTCCCATATACGTAATGGGGGCACGTAACAGTTGAATTTGATATAAGGGTAGACTGTAGCACCGCTGTTCGGTTAAAATTTCACCCATTTCATTTCTGGTTTAATTAAATATTGTGCAGTGGTTCAAATTATAATGAAACGTAAATCAAAGATCATCCCCTCAGGATTTAACTGTTTTGCTGTTGTTAGATCAAAAGATGAATAAATAATAATTTAACAAATAAGAATTACTTTGTATTACTGTTGGTTTAATTCACATTGATCACATATCAAAAATAAAAAGTTTATTTGTAAATCACATTTAAATAAATATATATTTATATAATAAATAAATAATATACCCATCAATTAAAATAATAATATTGGTCCAACTTATAAAGGTAGCTATTTGTATCTAAAGCTGAATGATGCTATTAGCTTTCTGTTCAGATTTATTCAAAAATGTTTTTTTATTAAAGATGCATTATGTAAGATTTAGATAAAGAGCTTGCTGTTCTTGCTATAATACTTCAAAAATTGACAAATGAATATATTGAAAATTCATTTAAGTTACTTTATTCTGAGCGAAGTTATCTTTTTTTTGAAGTTTTGAGAAGATGGAGCTACATTGTACTTGGCAATCCTTGATTCATCATTTTTAAATTAAATTATTTCATGGCAATCAGGTTTAAATCCATGTAAATCTAGATGGTTGATTATAAGCTTTTTATGCGAATAACTGTCTAAATACTAGTTTATATAACATTTGAAGCCAAAATAGAGACCTGCAATAGGCAGATTTAGCTCTTACATAATGTATCTTTAATGATTATCCACACTGAACATCATAAAGTTAGGGTCAGATTTACCAACAGGCACAGTAGGCCATTGGCCTAGGCTGTCTACAAGTAGGTAAGTCTGGCCATGTATAATGCTATTATTAATAGTAGATATTGCAAATAACTCACAACAGAAACTACAGGGTAGACAGCTAGCTAAGTGTTGGTGAGAGGGAAAAATAAATGAAATTTCAAATATCTAAATATCATTATGATATAAAACTGATATGTCTGAACACTCAATGATATAACAAAATAACATAAACTTAAAATATTATTACTAATTAGATAATTGTTGAGGGATAAAAATAACATAAACTTAAAATATTATTACTGTAAAAATATTACCTAATTAGATAATTGTTGAACGATCAAAATAACATAAACTAAAGATATTATTGTGACCAAAAGCAACAACCTAATTAGATAATTGGTGAAAACTGTTTAATTAAATTAATTTAACTGAAACAAGAAGAATCAATTTGTTGAACACACTTAAACCTGACCTTATGTCCTCTAAAATCATATTCTAAAATTCATCGTTCTTCTCATAATGTGACCAGAATATTAAAACCACCAGCTATAAGATATTCAATTTATGCCTTTCTCTGTTTTAATTAAATAAAACGGTATCAACTAACTTTATATATAAAATAATCCAAAACAGAAGTTAATGCCCACGATTCTTTGATTCTTTCATCCTAATCAAGGTTTACTATTACTGTATAACACTAATAAATTACCCTCTGCTTGAGAAAAAAAAAAACAATCTATAAAAGGAGATTTACAAAGACAATAAATTTTTGTATTATATATTTTCTATTTCCCTATTATACATTATACAAAGAATGTAATATTTTTATCTTTGAATATGAAAATGCAAAACTGTGTTTATTTAAAGATGCAGTAGGCCAATGTAATAGCTAAATCTGCCTATTGCAGGTCTTTTTTCTGGCTTTAAATGTTATATAGGTTATTATTTAAACATTTATTATCATGACAATCCCATAACCTACTCTCTAGGCCATTAGATGGCTCTGATTTTAAGTAGATTAAAAAAAATAATAGAGAATCAAGACTGCAAGACTTTGCACAGAATAAATTTCAATATATAAACTTTTCATTACCTATTTTTGAACTATTAAAGGACATGTTTTCCTTTGCCGTTCGTCACTTCCGATTCAGGAAACCTGTATTACTCAGCTATCGTAGCAATGATCTCTGTGTTAAAATAATATTTGGAATGTGTTTAACCAGCTCTATTACATATGTGATAATGACTGCCACCAATATCGTCCTTCAAAGCAAGAGCAGCCAGCTTTCAACTAAATCTTACATAATGCATCTATAAAACTTTATGTTCCCTTTTATAAATATATAATTATAATTTGGCACAACAATATTAGCAAGTTAAAGCATACATAAAATTATATCAGCATTTCAAATTCTTATAGGGAAGTCCGAGATATCTGTCATATAGGTGTGTTGAAATGTATAGATCAAATATTGAAATATAAATAAACGTGTGTTCAAGTTTGAACACAAATTATTTTGTTGGAAATGATCAACAGATAGTGTTATTGACTTAATAAACAAGACTATCACTTTAACATATTAAGAACACCATTAACAATAACTCATCACCAACCACATGGAAGCTGGTTCTCACTTATTGCCTGACACCTGAGAGTTAGACTATGAAATTGTGTCAAGTCTTTCAGATGGGACAAAAACATAAATACAGATTGGTGGTGCATGTAAAAGATCCTTTGGCAGGTTACATTTCAAGAGGAGATGCCAGAAAACTTCTGAGCAATCTTCTCCCAATTACTTGCATGTGTAATCATATAAATAAGTGATCAAGGCTGATGTCCCCCTCTTTGTACTCTTGTAATGGTTGTCATTGAGTAAGGCAGATTGTATAATCTAACTTGATAAGGATGTCCTTTTTTATGCACTGATTTGATTGAGGTGGACTAGCTAAGTGAGTTTTAGTATCACATCAACAGAAATACATAAAATAGTTGGTTATTGGTTTACCATTCTAGACAAATCAAATTGCTTATTTCTGCCTATAACCTATGTAGAAATAATGTGCACCATTGATCCAAGTCAAGAGATGCACAAGCC